TGCTTCTCAAGCAAAAAGTCCTACCCCTGAGCTGCGTCAAAGAAGCCCTAAAGCTTTTTGGGTTGAAAAAGAAAAAATACTAAAACTTTCCAGTGATGGGATTTTGGAGATAAAGCAACTTGGTGTTTAAATTCGCCTAAATCCTCGTCACCTAATTGGCCGGCTTCTGAGATGATGACGACTGGGTCTGCTTCTCTCTCTCTTCCATAGAAGCAAATAGGTTACAACCCTCTAAAAGATTGTTCAAATTAAATACGCAGAGGAGAGGATATCGCCCCCAAAATTTCCCTGGGTTTGTGTGAGAAATGTAGTCTAAAATGGGTAGAAGAAAAGTATTGGAAAAGTGTGAGATATGTAGTCAAAAATGGGCAGAGGAAAGGTATTGGAAAAGTGCTGGGTTCATGGGGAAGAAGATGAATAGGGGAGCACCTATTTTTAATCTGTTGGTAATAAGTGAGGGTAATTTCTAAACAATTGCCAAACAACATTAAATTATCTACTTACAATTGAACCGGAAAAGTGTAGCTGGGTGTGCTGGTTTTAAGTGTATCCTATCATTTTCCTATTTGCTATGAGTTAGCACTAGTACATGTGTTCATAAGAAGTTCAACCAATTCGTTTCACCTCGGCTTTTCTTTATAGTACCTCTTAGAAGATTTCAAACTAACTGATTATCTAATAAGAATGGCAAGAAACACGCCAGCATTGGATTGTCTGCATTGGACAATCATTGGCATTTTTTTCTCAAACTATGAATGGTCTTGTTACTGGTGGAATCCTGTTCTGGTACAGATGCTGAACATGCCGAAGGAAGAAATCTAGCCACAGACAGACCAGTTAATACCATCTGCGTTACTTGTCTTCTTGTCCTGAAAATTTGTCAAGTTTAACCAAATTTATTCTGTAATCTGTACACATTTGTTCTGATTCCAATTGTTTTAATGAACCTTTTTAATTAAGGTTTCATAAGCACTGATTGTGGGGCAGCTGATGATTAACAAGAAAAGTGATGTCTACAGATTTGGAATAATTCTAATAGAGTTGGTAAGTGATTGACCTGTCATAACAATTAAGAGGTGAAGGATATAATATTAGCATAATTGAGTGGATTAATCCTTTGATTGGAAGAGTGGATATCCGGAGCATCACTGATCCAAGGTTACAAGGTGAATTCAACACCAATGCAGCCTGGAAAGCAGTGGAGATAGCAATGTCATGTGTGTTGCCAATTGGAATCCAGAGGCTGGACATGAGTCATGTACTATCAGAACTTAAAGGAGTGCTTGGATTTAGACTTGGATTCCAGAAAAACTCAAAGGACACAGAGTCAGAAGTAATTCACTTGAAATAAGTGTTACTATTCCAAAGTAGTTCAATAGACAATGTTTCATGGAATTGTAGATGTAATTCTCCCTTGTTCTCTAAGGCTATAATGCGCAAACAGAAGGGTATGCCCCTTGCATGATGAATTAACAGCGTGAGTGTCTTCTTCTTCTTCTTTCTTCTTCTTCCCGTTTTTTATTTTTATTTATTTATTTATTTATTTTGGCGGTTTGTATTCCAAACTAATTAGTAAAAAATATATTGGACGTTTTAGCTGGGAAAAATTTGTATTGTTTCTAATTATTGACGTTTTAAGATTTCCATGTTGTATTAATTTTTTTCTCCCAATTTTACTATCCTT